GGAGAGAAGGGGGTTAGAAAAGGGGGGAGAGGGGGAGAGACGATATGAGAGAAGGAGATAATACTGTAGGTGAGAGCAGCATTGTGGCTGTTCTGTATTACTGTCCCCCCAAAAAAAAACAAGACAGTGCCCCATTCTCTGAAGGTGCAACATGTTCCGAAATCAGCTGACATTTCCTATCGTGGAAATGGAGGACTGAGGAGCCGGCTGCCTCTTTCACCAGGGTCCTTGTGTCTTTCAGCCACCTGAAGAAAGAGAGTGACAAGACACTGTGAGCAACAGCGAGCGACAGAGCGCGGAAAAGACCCCGCCACTACCCGCGGCTGATCGGAGGGCGGGGGGACAGCACGGAGAAATCCTGCTCATCGCCGGTCACCCGCCAGCGAGCGAGTCAAAGAAAGAGCGATGCACAGTGACTGGACTCTGATTTACACGAACACTGCGCTAGCAGAGAGAGGAAGACAGGGTTAATACACTGCTCCACTGACTGACTTACAACAGCTGCACTGTGACAGGGAGGAGGAGGAGGGATTGATGCAGTACACAGTATATTATCTATATGTCCTTGTGATGTGTCTGGGTGGTGTGCATACAGTATATGCAGTGAATTATGTACAGACCCTACTAAAGTGTTCAGGGTGTGTACGAGCCTATACACCGTGCACTATAAACCGATAAAAATTGCCAAATGATCTGCAAATATAGTACTGTTTGTAAGAGGTTCTGATAAGGTGTACAGGCAGTGTGGAGATACAACACATTTCATCAAGGTCCTGATTATGCAGATTGATTGGTGTACGAACTGTAGCTGATGTGCAGGACATCATAGTGCCCAGGCAGTGTGTGTATATAGAGTATATTTGATATAAGTCCAAATGAAATGGCCAGACAGTGTGTATATACAGTAGTTTAGCTGCAGTGTTCCTAATGAAGTGTTCAGGCACTGTGTATATACAGTATTTTAGGTACAAGGCCCAGTTGTCAGACCAGATGGAGTGTAAATATGGTACATTAGGTACTAAAATGACCAGACAGTGTGTACATGTGTCATTAAGTAGTGCTTTCATTTCCTGTCTAGTGCATGTAGCTCGATACTAAAACCTTGTCGGTGGACCTACTTCTGTTTTTGTAGTAAGCCTCAATGCGATTGGTGCGATTTTAATGAGTATGCATGAGAATTATAATTTTGTGTCATTTTTTTAATTTCCTTTGTTTTTTGGTCGATAATAATTACAAATATATATAAATATTATTTTTTATTATTTTTTTACATTTTCATGTTATGGCTATTATTTTTTTTCCTTGTGTACAAACAAAAAAGGATAATAAAAGAAATGTTTTTTTTCTATTTGTCTATACTGCCTCTATATATTTTGTAAATCTTCTGTAAAGAGTCTGGATTCCAGGTGTGTGTACTGTACAATACGAGTTTGCACTCTCGGTGTGTATATATATATACAGTGTGTCCAATAAGAGTCTGTATTATTTTTGTGTATATACTGTTTACTGTGTCCAATAAGAGGCTGTACTCCAGGATTGTGTATATACAGTGTGTCCAGTAAGAGTCCGGAGTTCAGGTCTATGTATATAAAATGTGTCCATAAGTGTCTGTACTCCACGTGTGTGTATATACAGTGTGTCCAATAAGAGTCTGGAGTTCAGGAGTGTGTATACAGTATATAAAGAGTGTCCAATAAGTGTCTGTACTCCACATGTGTGTATACAGTGTGTCCAATAAGAGTCTAGTTTCCAGGTATGTACAGTATAATATAAGTGATTGGCACACTATACTGTAAAAACAAAGGTGCTATCCTTCAGATGAGACATAAAATCAAGGTCCTGACCCTCTGTGGTCATTAAAAATCACAGGGTGTTTCTTGAGAAGAGTAGGGGTGTTAACCCTGGTGTCCTGGACCTTTACTCATCACGGCCTCCTAATAATCTCCATCTCTGAACTGGCCTCATCACTAGGTGGGGCTACACACCGGTGGTGTGGAGTGTCCAGGAAAGTGCTATTATTATTACTATTATTCTAACTCAGTATAATGAGATCTGCATTCTGCATTAGAGTAAAGTAGAGTAGTGTAAAATAGTGGAGCAAGTGAGACTGATTGCTGGTAAAAGACACCATTCGCTATGGGCGGACATGTGGAAAAAGAACTGCACTTTTATACGTAACGTATTCACTGCCTGTCTGTGTTGGGGGCCCAGAAGGTGGCCATGTTCTGAAACGGAGAAAACTGCCAGTATATCTGGGTCACGTAATCACAGCCCTTCAAGGATCTGACAGAGCGCACCCAAGGCACAAACCAGTGGAAACCACATGGATGTGCATCTAAACCCCTAAAATGGGCATCCTTCTTTACAGAAAGGGTTGTAGGAGTATGGAACGAGCTGCCCAGACGCGGTGTTTGAAGTTGATACACTGGCTCCTTTCAAGAAATGTCTGGAGGAGATTCTGAGATCAGTTTAGTAATTACCAAACAGTCTAAATAGAGCGAATAGTCCCCACTCATTTGTAACATGTCTAGTTCTCTTATGTGACTGTGTGTCATTAGGCAGTTCTGTATTCTATACTAATCTAAAACTGAAATTTCAAAAAGGAGAAGTATTTCAGACAGATCTGGAGAAGAAGGACGACATCTATAGTATTATTGAACGGACACAAACTGTTGTTCCATCATTCTGTCCTCTTTCTTTTCCTGTCTCTCTGCAGGACCATCAGTTGGTGGTTTGTCTACTTGTTTCTGTGTTCAGTTAGAAAGTCAGTCAGTGGGTCAGTCGTTTCATTCTTTGTCCAGTCAGTCGACTTCAATGTCTGGAGACGTGCTGTATTCCAATGTGACATTCTGTGCAAATGGCAGTGCTACGACAGCAGGTGGGTCTCAATTTAATCGTACTATCTTTTCCTTTGATATATCTGAAATAAGGGTTGCTCTGTGTGTGCCATGTTGACACTGTGGTGTTTGTATTAACGTCTACTCTCAGTGCAGTGTTAATGTACTGGAGTGTCCAGTCAGTGTGTGTGTATGAACCCCTCTCTCTCAGTGCAGTGTTCATGTACTGGAGTGTCCAGTCAGTGTGTGTGTAT